GGGAAAACAAGGGGAGAGTAGGAAACAGAAGGGGGGGGGGGAAGGAGGAAGGAGAGAAGGGGAGGAGAGGGGGAGAGAGAGGGGGGGGGGCGAGGAGGGGAGGAAGGGGAGATGAGGAAGAAGAGAGGAGTGGGATGGAGAAGGATCGGGTAAGGGGCAGACGGAGGAGAGGAGGAGGAAGAAGAAGGGGAGGAGAGGAGAGAGAATGGTAAATGAGAGAAAATAGGAGGAGGATAGGGTGGGGTGGCGGGAAACGGGAGAAGGAGGAGGAGAATGGAGTGAGGAGGGCTCGTAAGAAGGACGTAGGAGAAGGGGTTAGAGAGGAATCATAAGGAGGAAGATTGGGAGAAAGAAATAAGCGAAAAATGTGGAAATGGAAGAACAGGAGAAGTGACGAGGGGATTGTGGAACGAAAAGCGAAGGATATAAGAAGCAGGAAAAGGAGGCGTCTGTGGTTAAGGAAGGCGGGGGAGAAGGATGGGGGGGGGGGGCTGCGGGTTGGTGGGACTGACAGCCAACATTCCCTGATGGCATTTGGCAACCAATCCAGTAAGAGTGGAAAGGGGAACGAGAAAAAAATAAAAAACAGGTTTGTAATAAAGATGGAGAAAGGGTATATAAGAACAAGATATGAAATGTATAAAGTTAATAAAGGAGGAGAAGAAAGTGAAGATTAGAGGGGGGAAAAGGCAAAGAGAGAAGGGTGAAAGAGATAAAGTGAAAGCAAAGATGCAATTAACCAAGAGGTAGTGGGAGGTACGTGTAAACAGGGGAACATGTGAAGGGAAGAAGAGAAGAAAAAGTGGAAATGCAAGAGAAAGCGAAAGGAATTTGTAGGACACTTGTTCCATTCTCGTTCACAAACCGAACAGTTGGGAATAATAAAGCTGTTCTGTAACTCATTATCACGCACAGGGAGAGGAGATTGCTGAACAAATAAGAGTGCAAGACCGAGAGAAAAGGGGGGGGGGATTAGAGAGGAGAGAGTGTGGGGGGGGGGGTAGCGGAAGTAGAAGGAGAGAGGATAGGAAGGGAACGTTTGGGGAGAGGAGAGAACATACAGAAAGAAAGAGAGAGAGAAAGAAAGAGTGAGAGAGAAAGAAAGAGAAAGTAGGGGAGAGAGGGACACACACAGAGAAAAAAAAACAAGAGAAAGAGGGAAAAAACACGTGATTCATTTTTTTTTTCTCTCTCTAGCCTTCCACACTATCATCAGGCAAATTCTGCGAAACGTACTCAGCACTTCCTTCCGATCCTCCGCTCGTCTCGACCGCACACTCATCATTTTCATTTACTCAGCTTCCCGACACTAAACTCACTCATTCCGAATTGATTCATCCTCTCAAGGACTCAGTGACTCATCCATAACCCCATTACAATGGTTTACATACTCATTCCCCTTCCGCACATTTCTTCCTGACATGACTCATTCTTCCATACTCATTTCCCTTCCTCACTTTTTCCATGACAGGACTATACTCATTCCCCACATTTTTTCCTGACAGGACTCATTCTTTACTCATTCCCTTACTCACTTTCCTGCATTCTGGACTCATTCTTACATTCATCCTTACTCACATTTCTTCCTGGCACTCTGGACTCATTCACTCATTCCAAACTGAATCGCCCTGAAGTACCCACTGTCTCATCCATTTCCCATGACCCCACTGAGTAAATACTCATTCCGTTTACCCATCCCCCTCCCTTACTCAGCTTCCAAACCAAGTCACCCTCTCGAGAACCAGCTGCCTCATCCATCTCCCATACTCACGGGTTTACATACTCATTCCGCTTGACTCATTCCCTCCCTCACTCTGGAATCCATTATTCCTAACTGAATCACCCTCAAGGACCTACCGCCTCACACTCAATGACCCATGACTCATCCTCAAGTACCCACTATCTCATTTTCAAGTACCCACTATCTCATTTTCAAGTACCCACTATCTCATCCATCTCCCATACCCACGGCTTTACATACTCATTCTACCTGACTCATTCCCCCTCACTCTGGACTCACTCATTCCCAACTGACTCACCCTCAAGGACCTACCGCCTCACCCACGACTCATCCTCAAGTACCCACTATCTCATTTTCAAGTACCCACTATCTCATCCATCTCCCATACGCACGGCTATACATACTCATTCTACTTGACTCATTCCCCTTCATTCTGGACTCACTCATTCCCACCTGACTCACCCTCGAGTACCCACTCTCTCATCCATCACCCATACCTACGGCTTCACATATTCATTCTACTTGACTCATTCCCCCTCACTCTGGCCTCACTCATTCCCAACAAACTCACCCTCGAGTACCCACTCTCTCATCCATCTCCCATACCCACGGCTTCACATACTCATTCTACATTCCCTCACTCCTCACTCATTCCCAACTGTCACCCTCAAGGACCTACGCCTCACCCGACTCATCCTCAAGTACCCACTATCTCATCCATCACCCATACCCACGGCTTCACGTACTCATTCCGTTCGACTCATTCCCCTCCCTGCCTCACTCAGCTTCCCGACGCTCTGGACTCCCTAATGACATATTTCCTCGAAGCAAAGGCGAGGCTGAACTACGATGAATCACGGACAATGTGTCACTGCTCGTCGCGCTTTCGTCCGCTTCGAGATTCAATGCT